CTTTGCGCGAAATTCACAAACAAACAAAACCTCAAAAATACGTAAGGATTTAGTGCTTACTCGAAAATGCCGGCTCACTTTGATGCTTTGGCATGCATATTACTTTTCATTTATTTTTTATTTTTTCATGAATTGTTACGTAAGTGACCGGTGTACGTTCGCACAGCAATATTTCGTAAAAGAACACTTTACTCAGTTAAAAATTCAACAAAATTACAGAGTAAATGCTGAGATGATCACTAAAGCGCTAACAATAAGCGACACTAATGTAATTTACTTCGCTTTTCTTTTTATTGAGAACTTCGAGTATCCAGTTTTCTTCCCATTATAAGCGACTAATCAGGCAAAGAGCAGAAACTTGTTATTTTCAGTTCACTCTTTATTGATTTTTACATGCAATCTAAAGCTATGGCTAGCAGTAAAATATGCATATGCCTATAGTGCATAATATTATGTATAAATATTTATATAAAATTTAGTTTACGCTATTTGGAGTTTTTCAAATGTTAACGATTATTTAATTATCATAATATATATTGCTAATCCTTCGTCTCTTCTTGAATAACTTTACTTTATCAATTAAATCTACTTATGAATTAATTACGTTTTGAGAGAACTTAATATTGGACGTAGCTTAATCCTTTTAGAATGTGAGGTTTACCTGTGGGGATCAACTTGTAGTGTGAATATCAAATTCCACCAGGACTCAATTTAGTGTAAGAATCTTTTTGATACTTACTAAAGATGTTACCGAGCCATAGTTCTTGTAGGTTTATTACAGTACCATGTATAACTAGACCATAATTATTGTAGGTTTATCATATTATCATGTATTACTAGATCATAGTTCTTGTAGGTTTATTACAGTACCATGTATAACTAGACCATAATTATTGTAGGTTTATTATAGTATCATGTATTACTAGATCATAGCTCTTGTAGGTTTATCATAGTATCATGTATAACTAGACTATACTTATTGTAGGTTTATTACAGTACCATGTATAACTAGATCATAATTTTTGAGGGTTTATCATAGTATCATGCATTACTAGATTATAGTTCTTGTAAGTTTATTACAGTACCATGTATAACTAGATCATAATTTGAGGGTTTATCATAGTATCATGTATTACTAGATTATAGTTCTTGTAAGTTTATTACAGTACCATGTATAACTAGATCATAGTTCTTGAGGGTTTATCATAGTATCATGCATTACTAGATCATAGTTCTTGTAGATTTATTATAGTACCATAAATTACTAGACCATAGTTCACTGACTGAAGGCTTACATAGATAAAAAGGGAAAAAAAAATCCATCAAATACAATTATTTTCACGAAGAAAATTCATTAAATATTTTATTATTTTAAATGATACAAGTGAAGAATTGAACATTGAATTAAGTTCCCCTCTTTTTTTTATGCATTTCCAATCGTGCGTACATGTATGCGTGATGCTTTTGGCTATTATCCTACAGCAGTTTGTTTTTCACAGTATACTGTAAAAAATCATCATGTAAAAAAAATACTATTTAAATATCTTATTTCAAAATATCAACATGTTGGAAACTGCAAACTGCTTAATGTACTCTTACTCTGGAATTGATGCAAAGATGGAACTACTATAAGCTTTATATGACCACCTTCAAATCTCTCAGTTTCGATTCACTGTCTTTAGGGTTTTACAGGTTGCTTCTGGCAGCAGACAAACAAAACTTATAGGGCAATGTAGTGTTAGTAAAGATGTAACATTAATTCTCTAAAGAGAATAAAATACAGAATATCTGTTGAAACTCCATTAAAACAATCTTCTTGAATTATCTGTTTATGTACACACTCTCCAAGCTTGGTCGATTTCCATAATTCGGTACAAGTTTTAAAACTAGTTTTAGGTTTCAATGGCATTAAGAAACTTCAGAATTTGTCATCCCATACATTAAATATAATGTTAACATAATACTGGAGTTTAACACTATTCAAACATCTATTTAACTGACTAGTGACATATTGTATTTCATTTTATATCTCATGTTTTATTGAAATTTTACCTTGATATTGCTTAAATGTATTTCTACGTTTTCTATTTCCTTAATGCAGCAAGGAAAAAGGAAAACACGACGGTTATGTGGTTCTTGAGAAATGAGAAATTGTCACGCTGTGTGCAGGGAAGATGTAGCACATGTAACCTTTTGAAAGACGATTATAAATCTGATCTTTTTCGTGTCATTTTAGTTTTCAAACTATTGCTAGAAAGCTGACGAAAATCAATAATACTGAATGTACGGACCACTTTTTTGTACTTAAACTTACACGTGATCTTTGCAAAGGTGGATTTTGTTTTTTGATGGATTCACAATTGGTGGATAACAGGATTAATGAGTTATAAATACGTTTTGCAAATCGAAAAAAATTTTTTTTCCTAATGATTGACTTTTTAATCGAATATTTCAGTGTTTAGGGGAATATTTTACGATGATCTTGAGTGGTGTTACGTTTCAGCTTCTCGTTACTTTCATATATGTTACAAAAATCAATATTTTATTAGTCAGTTATTAAACTTAATGTCAGAAAGTATTCAGAATTGACTGTGAGCAAAATGTAAATATATATATATATATATATATGAAAGATGACCGTTCAAAGTTGGTGTAATAGAAAAATTAATATAAATCTTATCCCGTGAAACATTTAAATGACAAATTTAAATTTATTAAAATTGCATACATTCATCAGATTCAATTTGGTAAAAACTTACAATTGTTACCTATTCTTCAACTCCTGTATAAGTATCGGTTCATGTTGGTGACTGAAAGACAATTTAAGACACCGTGCACACAACGGAGATCAAAACAGAAATCCCCCCCCCCCAGTGGCACAGCGACATGCCTGCGGAATTACAACGCTAGAATCCGGGTTTCGATACCCGTGGTGGGCAGAGCCCAGATAGCCCATTGTGTAGCTTTGTGCTCGATTTGAGCAAATATACAACATACGTTTAACAAGTGACACTTAAGGAATACGTAACTCAAAGATAACACTTATTCCATGTTTCAGTTCCTGTCGCCAGTAATATTTCTCTCTCTCTTCATGTATATTTGTATGTTGTCTTACACGGGTTGAGAATACTTAAAACGTACAAAATACACGTCAAGCGTCACATTATCATCCCACGTGTACTCTTTGCCGTGGTTATTATTCATGACTCATGTTTAACAGTGTTTTTATGTGCGTGAGGGTGGGGTTATTGGCTCCCGCATATAACTCACTAAAAACGTAGTTATGACTGTCTTGTAATAGTTAACAGAGTTTGATTGGTGTGGATGGCGCTAGCTGGACAAGGAGCTGGAAATGAGACAAACTTTGAATTGTGGCCTAAGTTATTCCGTTGGAATAACAAAGTCACGACGTTTACGAGAACAAACCTTTTAACTTAGGATAAAATTATCGTTGCAACCTCGTTAATGCATGAGATAGAAAAAGTAATACAACACGCTCATTAAAGTCATCAACTGTTATCGAATGCAACAGGGAACAAGTAATTGAATCGCTAATCATATCTACTGGTTCGTTTAAAGAGAAATTATAAGATTTTCATTTGAAACACTATATCAAAATGATCTTAATGGTGCATTAAATCTGATAAAATGTCCATTACTTCCACATGTAACAGAAACATCATGAACTGGATGATACAGAAATCACAGAATTTTATTAAGTTAATTACAACTGACGTTGCTATAATATTCATATTGAATATATTCTAATTGGATATATAACAAGCCAATGAAGGTCCTCTTTGAACCATTACCTTAATTTTAATTATTGTTTGTCCTGATAACAAATTAAGTTGTGATTTTTTATTCTGTATTTTAACAGTCTGGTGATCTCTCAAACGCAGAGCTTCGGATCCTAACGAAAACGCTGGACAATATTACCTATAGAGGTAAGTTTGGTAATTAATTTTCTATTCAGGCCCGGCATGGCCAGGTGGTTAGGGCACTTGACTCGCAATCTGCGGGTCGTGGGTTCGAATCTCCACCAAACATGCTCGCCCTTTCAGCCGTGGAGGCGTTATAATGTGATAGTCAATCCCACTATTTCTTGGTAAAAGAGTAGCCCAAGAGTTGGCGGTGGGTGGTGATGACTAGCTGCCTTCCCTCTAGTTTTACACTGCAAAATTAGGGACGGCTAGCGCAGATAGCCCTCGTGTAGCTTTGCGCGAAATTAAAAAACAAACAAACAAACTAGTTTAATAGGTGAATTATATAAATACTAATTATATAAATTATATATATATATATAGAGAGAGAGAGAGAGAGATCTGTATAGAAATATACCAAGTCTTGATTCCAATATTAATAACATTAAAATTAACCCTTTCGGTTTGATTGTTGTTTAGCGTAAAAATCCCTCTATTATTATTATTTTTTTTTTTTGGAAGAAACATAATTCCTAGTTTAGACTTAGTTTTCGTAATGGGACAACTAGCCCTAGTAATTACTTATATATCAGTCGACAGATTGTAATCTTCAGATGCTGATTTGTATTGCTTACGAATCTCGAAAACATTCACCTTAATAATAATCGAAATATAAAACTTAAAACTTAAGTAGGTATTTAGTAGCATATACTTGGGAAGCATAATTATGGGTTAGAATACTGCTGGGTATCAGTTTCTCAAGAAATCAGACATTTCAGTATTATTATGAATATTATGTTTTGTCAGCGTTCTAAGATTAACCATTTAGTTTGAAAGTTTAAACAAATGTATATTTCATAATGTCATTACTGTATGAATCAAGTGTCCTAAGATTAACCATTTAGTTTGAAAGTTTAAACAAATTTATATTTCATAATGCCATTACTGTATGAATCAAGTGTCCTAAGATTAACCATTTAGTTTGAAAGCTTAAACTAATTTATATTTCATAATGTCATTACTGTATGAATCAAGTGTCCTAAGATTAACCATTTAATTTGAAAGTTTAAACAAATTTATATTTCATAAAGTCATTACTGTATGAATCAAGTGTCCTAAGATAAACCATTTAGTTTGAAAGCTTAAACTAATTTATATTTCATAATGTCATTACTGTATGAATCAAGTGTTCTAAGATTAACCATTTAGTTTGAAAGTTTAAACAAATTTATATTTCATAATGTCATTACTGTATGAATCAAGTGTCCTAAGATTAACCATTTAATTTGAAAGTTTAAACAAATTTATATTTCATAATGTCATTACTGTATGAATCAAGTGTCCTAAGATTAACCATTTAGTTTGAAAGTTTAAACAAATTTATATTTCATAATGTCATTACTGTATGAAGCAAGTGTCCGAAGAAGTTAAATTATCCTATATCAATTCACGTTAGGTGTGAATTTGTTTTGTTATTTGTACGCGAACCCCTCCCACAATTTTGTAGTTAGCAGGACCAAACTTGACAAAGGGGCCCTTAGCTATATGACGTAGCCCTCCTGCCGAAAGGGATTATAACGCGCGGGGAAGTCACCCAAGCATTATTGGGATTTAGTAGTTGGTGTTCAGGGTTGCTTAACCCGAATCTGGCATCAGACTTTGTTCTTAACTCCAACTCGGGATCTAGGGAATGACATATTTGTCTGTTCAATTAAAAAGTAAAAAAAAAAGATATTTCGCAAATACACAAAACATCATTAAGACACTTGTAACACCTTTCAGTAAATTTTCGAAGGATCCCTAAAAACCTAAAGATATTGAAGAAATAACTTTGACATAAAGTTTCTTTGTCATCTTGACTTAAGGACGTCTTAGAATGTATCATTTTGCACCTGTATGGTATTTGAATGTATGTTTGTTAATTGTTTAATTATGCTGTAATTAAACGAAAGTTTCTTTAATGTGTAGTAAAGTATGGAGATTATATAATACATTAAATTATGATCTTGTAATTAATATAACATCTCTATAACTAGATTAGCCCACTTTAATTCGTTAAACGAGCACTATAATGAAGCCGGACTTTCATTATCAAACCTATGAATAATCGGATTATTCCCTATATAATTTTGTTATTCACCATTAGCCAGTATAAATAAGTATGCATTTGTTTAGCTAGTATGCTCAGTTTTACTTTCAATGTATAGTGGATTTAGTTAAAATCATCAATCTTTTGATCGTTGGTAATTAATGTTAGTTTAAATAATCTTACAAAAGCGTGTAAACCGTATATATATATAACAGAAGACTTCCGTTACCTTCTGAAAATCGTACTCTGTCATTAGTCTATTAAAAAAAAAACTATTCAAACTATAGTGAATGTCATGGTATTGATATTCATACGTAATATTTTAAACATTCTTGAGTGTAAAATATGAATGAATTAATAATAGATATAAATAATATATATATATTACATACACATACCGATTGTATTTTATTCAGTAATATAAAACATACACGTATCGATTGTATTTTATTCAGTAATATAAAACATACACATATCGATTGTATTTTATTCAGTAATATAAAACATACACGTATCGATTGTATTTTATTCAGTAATATAAACATACACGTATCGATTGTA